CCCCCCCCTCAGTAAAGGAAGATCAAGAGAACGACCCGAAGTTTGTTTGCCCCAGTGTGTAAACGATTTTGTTACTGACTACGGCACGCACGGGCCCAAATTAAATCTTACGAAAAGGGGTTGAAAGTATATGGAATTTTCTAGCAGATACAAATTTCTCGGTGCGATATTGTAAATAGCCCATTAGCAACGATGGTGGTACAAAGGGCGGCTGTAGACGGGTTGACTAAGTAGTCGACTAACGAGAAATTTTAATATGTCGCTTTGTGTAAGTGCAAATTTGGTTGACTGATATAGTCGACGATCGACTTTATTTTTCGAGTAATTTTCGTGTATGAACACCAAATTTTGTTGTGTAGGTTGGTAAAACCTAGTCATGTTCAGTCGACCACGGAATTTAACTTTTTAGATTTTCTGGTCGACTAGGGTTCTTTATCTGGCACTCCTTGCTAGCCGACCGCTTAGTCGACCCGCCTGTACCCATCCAAAGGGATCGACCATTTCCCCGTAAGAGAACACGTGTTTTTATGTTTTTTTAATGATATTGATAATTGCCGAAAGTTCGACGATCATTATTCGAATTCGAATTTACTTATCAGACAGTAAATAAATATACACTTATTAAAACATGTGTATGCCAGTTGCTTTTATTCGTTGCATGAAAATTTCTCCCGCTTTCCTCGTTACAAAAGCGTCGAATGCATTCATTTTTCTCGTCGAAACTACTTTCGATCTTGCAACTTTAACGGCTTCAACGAACCGACACAATTCTTATTCCAGCCTTTTAATTTGAAATTATATTATGCGAGTAAAATTTTCTCGCATCAGAACACAAAGCACTGATTTTATCTAGTGATTTCCGTTCTCATCTTCTGTATTTTCCTTTCAACGAATATTATCTTTTTTGGCGCAAAGGATCTTAATTGAATGAAAATAATTATCAGAGCTCGCACGCCGAGCAGTTGATATAAACTTAACCTTTTCTATTCTACGAATGCTTCTATATGCGTTCAGTAAAATCATAGATTTCTTGACAGAATACATACTTACATATATGACAGAAAATCTCATAGTCGTTGCCTATGAACTCTTGAACGCGTCAAACATGGTCGACAAGCCTATTTTTTGAGTAAAAATTTGCGTTACAACTGAATTTTCTTTGGAAAGTGGAAAATTTAATGCTTTTTTTTACAATTTGTGGATTTATGTTGTAATTAGTATCTGCATATTCAAATTGTTTTATTTGCGTTAAACAGATATCTATCCAGATCACGAACATGCCTCCTATGCATTTTGAATATTCTGTCTATGTTGATGTATGGTATAAAAAGAAATGCATATCGCAAAGCTTAATATTGCTATTATACTATTTAATGTCTTTTAATATGCTATTTGTACACTTTGGAAAGACTTTCATCGCGGACGGAGCAA